TGCAAATTTTAGGCGGTAGGAGTCAATCAGTACCTTAGGTCAACAGCGAGTGGCAATAAACAGCCAAATAACGTCTATGTTAAATAGATGTAAATCTGTAGGCAAGTCATTATTATCCGATATATTTTGTAGACCCGGTATTCTGCGTTGCTTTTGCTCTTTGGTTAGTGTTCGTAGACAGTGATGGTGGAAGAGGTTGTGTATATGATAGAGACGTCTTTATTTGAATACATATGTTGTAACATACAGGCGTGCGGGCTCCGTGTGTCAGGGCCACACCTATCTCCCCTGAATCTTCTTTTCTCTCCCTTTATAGCAGGGTTCGACACTAACGCTAGTCCGTTAGTCCGAGACTAGTAAAAAATCAGAAGGACTAGTAGATTCCCATAGCAGTTAGTCCGGCGGGACTAGTTATATTTTCCCCGTCCCTCACCGTCCCAATTTCCCATCGATTTTACCGGCGGCAGCGTCTCTCATCCAAGATCCGCGTGCGTGCGTGTGCACGTACACGTGCGTGCGTGCATAGACACGTACACGTGTGTGTGTGTGTGTGTGTGTGCGTGCGTGTGCACGTACCCGTGCGTGCGTATGCACGTACATGTGCGTGTGTACGTGCGTGTGCACGTACACGTGCCTGCGTGCGTGTGCATGTACACGTGCGTGCGTACGAGGGCACGTACACGTGTGTGCGTGGGTGCGTGTGCACGTACACGTGCGCGCATGCGTGGGCACGCACACGTGTGTGCGGGCGTGTGCACGTACACGTGCGTGCGGGCGTGCGTGCGTGTGCACGTATACGCGTGCGTGGGTGCGTGTGCACGTACACGTGCGTGCGGGCGTGCGTGGGTGCGTGTGTGCGTGCGTGTGCACGTACATGTACGTGCAGATCAGCTTTCCTCCCAGATGTTTTTTTCACCTCTACTTTGCGACTCTGATTTACGGTTTTCTCCATTTACGGTTTTCCCTTCGTAACTAGACGCTATTGTTTAGCAGTGATACCGGACAGTGCACGCGCGCCATCTATCCAGCGATTAGTAAATGGTGAATCCCATTAGAAATGCACATGCAGATGCTATTGGAAAAAACGGCAGGCCCTACACCGATGACGTCAAGCTGTGCTAGCTTGACAAGGCCAAGGGTTTAGATGTCGGCAGCACTTACCTTACCGACAAGGCCTGCCAGAGGTTTATTACGGCGATAGCCGATACAAGGCGCCAGGAACAGTTTTGTAGCTATAAATGAGGCCAAATTCCTTGCTGTGATAAGTGACGGATCCACAGATTCCTCATCAAAGGAGGCCGAAATTTTATTTTCGAATTTAAAATTTTATTTAATTTAAGTTTTAATTTTATGATCCATATCAAAGTTACATGTATTTTATACAATTGCATGTCTTTGACAAAACCTTTCGGGGGGACAACACTTGCACCCTGGGAGATACCCCCTGGGTATACCCCCTGTACCCCCTAGCAGAAGAGGGGCTCCACCCTCCTACTCCACCTACCTCCTGGCAAATAACAATGCTCGTCCAGGGCTTGAATTAAGCGACGAGAAGGGCAAGGCAATTTTTTTAGGGCATGTGAGAAATCGCCTTGAATTTTCTCTAAAATGGAAGGGCACCGAGGCAATTTTAAAAGGCACCAAGGCAACTCTCAAAATTTGAGAAGGGCACGAAGGCACTTTTGTAAAATGAAGAAAAACTCATAACAAATTAGTACATCAACATTGTCTTGCTTTTAATGTACAAAACAATATGCCCCCATGTAACTGTAAGCTTACACCGTAACACCGACCCCTGTACCCCCCTCTGCTAATGGAGTACAGTAACAAAAAATTTTACAAACGAAACTAGGGCAGTAGATTAAAGGGTAAGGCAGGTGACTGCCGTCGGTCGGGTTGGATTTTCAGGGGCAGTACGGCGATTGATAGGGGCACCGACGGCAATTGCTGTCGGTGCCGTCGGTTAATTCGAGCCCTGTGCTCGTCGCTCTGCACCTAGTAAGAGTCCTTCGGCAGGACTAGTAGAATCTTGGAAGGACTAGTACATTTTTTCGTTTACTAGTCCTGTGGACTAATGAACTAAAATGGTTAGTGTCTAACCCTGGACGTGATTGTTAAATAAAGGTTTAAACACCATCGATAGACAAAATCTTTAGTGGCACACTAACTGTCATAAAGTCTATGTTTGCTGTATGAACCCAGGATGTACTAATGATGTAATGCCATGTGGTACTTTCTGACCCCCCCCCCCGCGAGTAGGCCTAGCCGATATGTATCATTTTATTTATTATTGTTTGATGTATTGTCGAGCTGTAAATCTACCATTTTCTTTGTAGCTGATGAGGTACCAGAACAGGCGTGGTGGCCGCATCGTGCTTCAAGACATCCAAAAGCCCATGAAGGACGAGTGGGGCAGTGGAGTGGAAGCCATGCAGACTGCACTGGATATCGAGAAGAATGTTAACGATGCTCTACTTAAGCTACACGCTCTAGCCGAGAAGCACTTTGATGCCCATCTCGATGACTTCATCGAAGGTAAGGCATAAACGTGTGGGACCGTGTTCCTGGTTATTATTCATGGATACTAGTGTGGCTGGCATATTAAACGGGTAGTTTTATACAAACACTTGCAGGGTTCTCCAAGCTTTTTCATTATAGCATGGCGGGCCTTTACGGTCCTAGTTTTAGCATTTTTTAGCTAATTTTAGCATGGCGGCTATGATATTTAGAGTGGCGGGTGCAGTTTAGGATGGCGGGGCTCGACGATAGCCTGGCGGGCCGCCAGGCTATAAGTGCCCTTGGAGAACCATGGCTTGGTTAGAGTCGTCATGATCGATATGGGAATGTTTTCACCATGCTGCAATACTGTATACGTTAACTAAAAAGTGCAGGAGGTATGAGGTTGAGTGTAGGACAGGTTTAGGCACGAAGCGTACAGCAGGAGGCTTCTGGATAGCCGCAGGCAATGTGCATCTACTCGCTTTTTCTGACCTTTCTATCCTCGACAAATCATTGCGGGTGACTACCAAGTGGTCCCATCCCAAAATACTGCAACATGCTGAAATGACAGATGTGTATTTATAGCATTGCGAGGCTGCTGTACAAGCAAATCACTAGACCCACTGCCGTTCCAAGGGTTTCTGTCAGCCATTCCCATCACTACATAACATACATACTATAACATCACTAATAACAACATGGTGGTCGTGTTAGAGTTGATACTACAGGGTTTCTTCTGAGAGAAAATTAGACAAAGGAGGTAATGGCCAGTTTGGGGAAAAAAACGCTCATGATGGATTCAAAGGCGTGTCGTAGGCACGCATGCGGACGCTGCAGGCAGACTAATATGCCAGAATAACTCTAAATATCAACACAGACGGACTCTAAATATGCAAGAAGCACGTGGTGATCTATTTATTTTTGGGTCGACACTATTTTGACAACGGCGGGCAAATACAGGAACATTTTCACAGCAGCGATGTTAAATTTGACAACGGCGGTGCGCCACTGTGCCTCTTATGTATAAGAAACCCTGTACTAACGACGAGCGTTTCCTTTTCCAGAGAAGTACCTGGAGGAACAAGTTGAATCCATCAAGAAGCTTGCTGATTTCGTCACTAAGCTGAAGAGAGCCGGCCCAGGACTGGGAGAGTACATGTTCGACAAGGAGGAGCTGCAGGAGGCGGCGACGCTATCAGGCCATTAAGCGAGACGGTTAGCTGAAAAAACGGTTTGCTACGATCCGCCGGATTGCGTCGTCTACGAAACTTACCCATATTATGGTATCATGAATGAGAGAAACCTGCTTTTACAGGTTTTTGAAACCGTGACGTGATAGCTCTATGTATGTATAACATCACCTCGGCAACTTGGCACCGTTACGATGTAATTCAATATGTGTGATCGACATAGTTTAGTGGAATTGTAGCATCATTGTAGGGTGCAGGATCACTTTTATTTTTAGAAGCTTATTCTTCTTGCTCAGTAATGGGCCCCTGTGCGAAACTCCATGGATAATGCATAGTGTGATTTCATATAGGGGCATGCACATAACCCGGTTGGACCACTGCTAGTCTGCTACCAAGATATAGGAATTAGGTTAGGTGGACATGTCAATTGTAATCTGTAACGTAGGTACGACGCACAATGGTTAACATAGTCTTTATCGGTAAATAATGCACAAACACCCACGTTCGTGAAAATACATTTGGTTGATAATTGACAGCTATAAAATTGCTTATCCATTAATAATCAAATATATAGTATATATTGCTAGGAATGACGATGAAGATCTGGTTTTATCTACTGTATATTCTATTCCTGGCAAAAATCATATTGATGGTACAGCTACAGAGCACTTAGTGTTATATTTTGTTTCCAATGTTCAATTTCATACAACATACATTTCTAGTCTATATATGGATTGGTTGGTGTAAACTGGAATGTCTGTTAATAAAAGGCTGTACACGTTTAAGTATGCCTTCCGAGTCTTAATCGATTGAGTGTTAATGTGTGTTTAAGTGTAATTTAATTGCGCAAGGTAGTGATACCGTTTAGTAAAGTGCTGCGTTATTAATGAATTTACGTTTTTATTCGAAACGTAACAGTTTTACGTGCAGTGCCATGCTCAGCTATCTAGTTTAAAAAAAATTAATATTCTAATCTAAATTGGGAGAAACGTTTGTGTTTTGCATCATGCAATACCAAAACTTTATCAATCCTATTCACAGGGTATGCAGAATATTAGAGGTTCACACTTTTGTATATGACAGCACGCAGACGTCAGGCAATAGGAGCTAATTTAAAACACGTTTCACTTCATGCAAAAGGTAAAAGGTGAATAGAGCAAGTACAGTGAAAACTACGTTACAACTAGTTATTATATAATTATACAGTCTGCTGACGACAAGTTCAATCCAAAATTCTCAAACACTTACAGAACCAGTAGGTGCAGAGATATGCAACGGCGATGCTCGTATGATGCAATATTCCAAAATTCGCCCTCAAGGTACGTATAGCAAAGATTGACCTTTCTTGTTTGATGAATACCTGGGAACTGAATTGTTCTTATCGGTTAACCTGCAAACCTGTTTTATGTCGGTTACACCTGTGCACAGAACCTTGCATCTGCTGCTGTACCTGTATACAATTAGGTTAATTTTTGACAGGCTCGTTTTGCGACCAAGGCAGGAGAGGAAATAATCTAGAAATCGACCGATTGTAAAGAATTTGCGGGAGTTAGCATGTCGAATAGGACAGTTGCAACCCTTTGGCACAATAATCGGACTCACTGCATCACGCCTAGCTATTTGCTATGGTTTAGTCTGGAATTTATTTTGCTATGTTTTTTTTTTTGAAGATCGGACTGTAAAAGCCCTCGCATAAGTTGCGTCAAGGATGTTCATCGATCTTCAAAATGGATTCTTTTTCAAAGCTAGATGGATATTATCTTCCTCATTTTTCTAACGCAAACATTATTTTAACATAAAATATATGCCCTATTCGCAATTTTAGAACAGGCGACTCTGAAAAAAGTCGCATGTTTTTATCATATTCGGGTAATCATTGTCAAGAATACTTCGAACGTGAGTGAGCATGTGTAGCCACCACGTTTCTCTTAGGAGAGCTTACGCCGGTTTTATGCTCTACGCAGCGAAAAGACAATGACGGTTAGGGTATCAGGTTATTTTTTGGGATAGGTTTAGATCTATATATCATCAAGAGCTAATAATAGGTATTATTAGCTCTTGATATCATGTATCCTCTAAATTTGTAAATCCAGGCGGGTTAGCGACTTGCTTTTAGTCAAGGCTACATGTAGGAAACCGGTTTTCCTGCGTTAGAGCGATGGCAGTGATCATACGCCCACTTGAATTAAAACAGCATGAGACGTGTTGCATGTGCATACTGTAGCTTAGATGCGTTAAAAAATTTAACACGCGGCAGCTGTTCAAATTTGCCGTCGAATCATATGCTGCAAACGCTCTTGCGCAGAGATGATGTGTATATATATTTATATATATAGGCCTATATATATATATATAAATCAGGAGTAGAGGTCTATTCAGACCCTAAAGACCCTAGAGACCCTAAATCAGGGTCTATTATCTACTCCTGATATAAATATATTACTCACATTGCATTCTACCCGATTATATATTTATATATATATATATACACGCGCGCGCGCACGCACACATACACACAAACACCTGGCCCATTGCAACTCGGCGCTGAAAATAAAAATACCGCGTTATGCACACCAAAGGACGCACAGAAACATTCAGTTTATGTACAGGTTGGTGGTGGTTAGAAGTCGTAAAGGTCAGCTAAACCTGAGTGCGGAGGCCTCATCTAGCTGCTACCGAGGTAGCGCTAGTTAGATTACTTCATGATTACGCTGTGGCGACGATACGACGTCTTCTATCTTCTGCTGAAACGCAAAGCTGAAATACCAACATGTGAACCGTAATTAGACGTGTAATTAGACCGTAATTAAACACACGATGTGCAAGTGACGCATGCATGCAAATGAACCTTGGAGCGTTAGACAATAAAACAAACATTAACTGATTATGAACCCGCTAAAGGAGCATACGAATTTATTCAATGTATAGGATGTACAGGATATGGGTGTGTGTGTATAGGTACTGTATCAACTTTATTGTGATAGAGATCCTGCGTGCGTGGCATAAACTGAAAACGAAGCGAGCGAGAAACGCGTCCTGCAAATGCCTCAAGATATATTATACATTTGCACAACACGTACGATCGCATGATTTTCCAACGAAACCAATGATCGACTTTCTTCGTTCTAAGTAAGAAGCGCGTACATGTATCCTCATGCGTTGGTTCCCTTACACGCACGCACGCATGCATACACGCACCTACGTATACGCAGGCACACCCCTCACAAAACAAATACTTACCAGAGGAATTATCACAACCTGTTTTACCATAATTCTTTAAGGCGTAAGATATGTTTTCTTTATGGCGTAAGATATGTTTACAAACGCGCACAAATTAGGAAAATTAACTGTTTTTAATGGCCTTTGTACGTTATCACACCCAAGGCCATATACGTTCTCCTACATTCTCCTTATCTATATACCTCTACAACCGTCGCACTGCCGCTACATTCTTCCCTCTAATACGTTCCAACTTTTTCCTCTCTCCTACCTCCTCCAGCTTTTCTTTCCTCCATCGTCTCTCAATACAGTCTGAACATTTATCAGGGAAGCTTATAGTTAGTAATTCCACGCAGATACAGATTTAATCTTCCAATAGATTTAATTCCAGATTTAATTCCAGATTTAATATGCCAATTTTTACGTATACATATTCATTTACCCATGCAGTCACACCTTGCGCAGTGTTTATAAGTAAATCTTAAATGCATATATGCACGTGTCGTATATTTTTACTATGTACCGCGGTACCAATAATTTCACGCTTTTTTGTGGACAAATGTGAGTAACTTATATCAGATTATAAGTGGACTCCCTGGGCTAAAAGTGTCTCGGGTGTGTATACCAACTATATATTTATGTACAGACAATTTTATGGCCTGTGCGAAGAGGTATTGTTTTTGATTTTGATGTTTGATGTCTTAAAAACTACCACTAAAATTCATGCGCAGACAAACTTTTTAGCCAATAACATTAACCCTACGTAGGCCGACGTGTTTTCACAGTCTGCATACAAAGTGTAGGATAGAGCAAATGTTAGCGTGAGAGAACCCCTCATACGGAATTGGTATATACATCCTCTCCCAAAGAACAACTGTGTTCGTCACCATAATAAAGAAAGCGTTAGTTTTAGTTCGTATATGACATATCAACTCAAAATGTTGAAAGTCAGAAGTCGACCTGAACTTATA